GGGGGGGGGGGGGGGGTGTTCTGGATTTGAGAATTTGGGGCATCAGCAGGCCAGGAGAGGTCTAGGATTTCAGGGTGTATATTAGGGTTTAGGGATTTAGTTTTTAGATTTGAGTTTGTCGGGTCTTTAGGATTCTACGACTTAGAGCCTTGGGGTTTAGGATTTCGCGATTTACAGCTGCAGGGTTTAGGGTTTTCAGTTTCAAGGGTCGGGCCTTACTCACTCGTAGGGTTTGGGGTGTTGCTGTGTGAATGCGTGGCGGCTGATGCGTGGATCCATGTTGGTACAATCCGGCGCCTCGACTGCGCGAATGCTGCTCGGTAGTACTGAACCCTTGCGTGCTCAAGTCGGCCTCCGCAGCGGGCGAAGCCTTCGGCTAGCAAACAATGCGCTGTTTCCAGGGCGTGAATCGCTCTTTCCGTTGCACAAATCGGCCTCCCACCGCTTGTACTTCCACACACTCCGTGTTTACGTGCCATGTCGTGAAATACATTGCATTACATCAAGGTAGACGTATGTATGTATGTATGTATGTATGTATGTATGCATGTATAAGCGAGAGAGCGCGGGAGGGACAGGCATCACGCGCCGCGGCAGGGTGTTGGCCCTGATGCTGAGGCTGTGGCGATGAAGGCAGTACAGTTTCATAGTTATAGGCATGAAGGTAGGTAGATCGAAAGGAGGGGGAGGGAGGGAAAGACAGAGAGAGATATGGACATGCATTTCTTTATGGGCATCCATGCATGTCGGGTAGAGAACCGTCTTTACAACTTGCAAAGTTGTCTACGGATATCCCCACATACATTATGCGCTCGTCCCATGAAATCCAAGCTTTGGTGCAAGGCCTTCGCCTGGCTCCTTGGAGGCACCTAAGGCACGACTGAACAAAGCCGGGCTGGTGGGGTTAGAGGCTACAGTCAGAGAAATGTCGGTTTGAATTTTAAACGTTTGTTTGATGCACCGTATCCTGGAGATGGTGACCAAAAATGCTTAGATACATCGCAGTTGTTTGTCAGTGTTCTAGCAGAGATGGCCGCCAAGCGCCTGACAAAGGATGTTCCGATATTTCGGCTTTGCAGTCTGCAAACGCGTCAGCCTGGGTGTTGCAGACCGGGGCCTGCAGGGCTATCTCCATCGAGCCGCGGTGTCCTGTCAACTCGTCCAGCAACATCCGTCTTTTCATAAGTTGGGCCATTTAGGCCTGTTCATGGTGTTGTGACCGTCGTCTTATCGAAGTTGACTGCAGTTCAGACCGTTCCATGTCTCACCCTTTCATAGCGTGGCATAGTGCACGGTGGGTTTGCTTGGCAGGGTGAGGCGCCACGTGCTTTGTGCTGCAAGCTTAGCCCCAGTTTGTTCTCAGCCTAACAGCTAGAGAACATCGGCAGGCTGACATGTGCCACGCCAGTGCTTCGGGAGAGCTGTCTCGGTGCCACGGCCTTGACGTGCGCAGTCTGCACATGCTCATGTTCCGTCGCCTCTGCAAGATGCTCTTCGAGACTAAGCAACGTGCCTCGCCGCTCTTTCAGCTCTCAACGGCACATGTGCCTAGGAAGCACGTGAAGCCCTGATCACGAGAACTGGGCAACCGGGTGCTGAGGTCCGTTTGATCGTAGGCCCCGGCCAGCCCAATGTCGTCAATCGACAAGAGCGGTAGAGCTGACCCGCGGCTTCTCGGCCGGGAAAGCTGGCCACAGCAGAAGACCTCCGGGCAAAAGGAGAGCGCTCTTAGCAGACCGTAGCAGACCAACAACTTGCAGTGAGCCCACAGCTGCCATGAGCTGCCTTGCTCCTGCCACAGGAGCTGGAAGCATCCAAGCCTCGTGGAGCCGAACCAGTCCGAAGCCAAGTCAGGAATCAGACAACAATCAGGGCTGTCTTTGGCTCAGACTTGCATGGCTCCCCCTGTTGTCTGTCGGGGGCTCTCTGGTGAGGTCGAGGAGGTTCAGCAGAGACCCACGAGGTTCCGCGGATTGGTGGGCGGCGCCTGGCAGAGGGTGCGGACAATGTTCCGACGCAGCAGCAGCGGCGCAGGAGATGCAGGAGACGAAGCAAAGCCCGAAGTCGCGGCCGAAAATTCGGAGAGCCACCCAGTCTCCCTGGCGGGCGATTTTCGGATCCTGCCGCCCAGTGCGTGGCTGACGTTGCACGCTCGCTTCCTGACGACAAAGACCGAGGAGTATGCCTTCGTTGCTGGGCCTGGGTCGCAGGAGTTAGAGAACAAGCCGCTCAAGCCCGCAGCAGGCCAGGGGAGCTTGTTCGGATGTAGAAAGTCTTGGTTTGGGCTTTCGTTTGGGCATTGTACTCAATCAAGGAGATCATGTGAATTCCCGGCTGGGGGCTTGCTCTTGGAACACTAGGCATTGCAGTACCTTTGCGTAACTCGCCGGGTGTGAATTTAAATGAAGGAACCCGCACTTTTATTGTGTGAAGTCAGTTGTCCCTACATGAAGCAAACCGCCAAAAGTTCCAGGAGCAGCGGCGCCCGAGGTCACCGTTGGCGCTGCTTCACCACTGGAGGTGGCATCAGGGATGTGCTGGGCTTGACGTTAGAGGTCGGAGGGCGAGGCATAGATGTGCTCTGACAACAAGTTGCAGGCAAACCTAATGAGCTGTCTTTTAAGGGGCTTTGCTCAAGTTAAGGCTGGCTTGTAAACTTGGTACACTGAGCCCTAACTCAAAGCTTCTATGCCGAGAATGTCCTCGAAGCATCGTGCAAGCAATTAAGTACCGGTGTGCATGCAAGGCCCCTCGCTAGAAACGGAAAGACCATCCAAAGGCCAAGGCGGAGCTGGAGGCGGAGGCCGTCTCGATCGAGCCGAGCATCCGGTCGGCAGAGGCCGTGCTTTTGTGTTGGTGGAGGACGCAGAGCGACGTAGCTTCACGCCGTCACAACTCCTATACCCCATATTGCAAGCAACCGCGCAGGCATCCCCCGTGTCACGGACCCGTGAGTGTGGAGACGAGGCATTCGAGGCTCCCATGGGTGGCATTGACACGATTACTGTTTCATTGGACTGCAGTTTTACAGTCTTAGTTTGAGTTGTTCGGCCATCTTCCGTCGTTGGCTGGAAACACCTGAACGAACTTCGTTTGCACACAAACCAACACACGGAACAACAGCAGCAGCAGCAAGCATCAACAACAACGGCAACAACAGCAAGTGCAGCAGTTTCTGCTGGCAGAAGAATTCCGGGCCTAAGGAGCACGCTCTTAGCAGACCGTAGCAGACCGACAACTTGCAGTGAACCCACAGCTGCCATCAGCTGCATTGCTCCTGCCACAGGAGCTGGAAGCATCCAAGGCCTGTGGATCCGAAGCAGTCCGAAGCCAAGTCAGGAATCAGACAATAATCAGGGCTGTCTTTGGCTCAGACTTGCATGGCTCCCCCTGCTGTCTGTCGGGGGCTCTCTGGTAAGGTCAAGCAGGTCCTTCAGCAGAAACCCACGAGGTTCCGCGGATTGGTGGGCAGCGCCTGGCAGAGCTCTGCCAGGCGCCTCCCACCAATCCGCGGAACCTCGTGGGTTTCTGCTGAAGCAGCAGATGCAGCAGACGAAGCAAAG